TTCACCTCACCGGAGGAATCAGGAAGGAACAGGGGAGGATGGGGATCCACGCACTCTAGGAGGCAGGGGCGAGGCATCTGAACCCTATCTCAGTAGTCCATTTTTGTCCTTGGAATGTGTCGCTGGTGATCAGTTGCCACTTCCCCAATAGCCAAGGACCTTCGGTCTGGGGCGTCCTCCGCCAGCCGCAAGGGGGCGCGAATCTGGGAGAGCTGCACTCGGAAACCCCAGCTCTACCCCAGTCAGGGCTCCGGCAGAGGGTCCCGGCCCATTCTCGGAGCCACCGTGGTTGGACGGGGTGATCTGAGACCTCAGGCAATGGAGTTGTGGACGCCTTTGCGCGATAGCGGGCCATCTCCTTGGTTCAGGTGGTCTGCCTAGTCCTTAGAGAAGAACCTGTCCTCTCCTCCCTGTCCCTTTCGGAAGGGAAGTCTAACTCCTAATGAAACTGGAATTCCAGCGCGGATGAACTCTGGAGCAGAGAGCTGGAGCTGATAGATGGAGGAGGGACGCATTTCCAAGTGGTTATCTCTTCTTTAGCTAATGAGCCTCTTTAGTCTTTCTTCTCTGGCTTGGATTTCGGTCTCTGCGAGATGTTTGTAATGGGGGGTAACCCTGTCGCCCCGCGCACCGGCTCAGGGACTGTGAGGGTATCGTTCCTGCGCGGGTCCCTCGCCACTAGGCGCCGCTGCGCGCACACCGATCTAGGACTTGAGCCGCCGCGCCCGCCTTCCGAGAGGCCTCTGGGGAGGACGCCAGAAAGGGATTTGCCGTAATAATTTTAAAAAATGTTTTAAAGGTATTAATTCTACTTTTTGTTCCTCAACACTGCCCTACGCATTCAGAGAGGCCAAGGTGACTGGGAATCACAGTAAGTTGGAGGACTTCTTAACCGGTCCCCAGGCCTCCCCATCACCGGACACCTTTTGCATGTCTTGGGCCGGGAAGGGGCTCACCCTTCGCCTCGCTCACCCGGCGCTTCCCTCGCGGCGCTGCCGTCGCACAGTAAGGACCTATGACTCTGGCCCACTGGGAGGATCCATACCGGCGCGACCCTGTCGCAGAGGGAGAACTTCGGGTGGGCCTGACAGAACAAGGCCATGGCCTAACAATAACTAAAATTCGGTGAACGCTATCGTGTGCCAAGCCTACCTATTCCTCTCCACAACCGTCGGAATATTGATATTTCCTTTTCACAGGTGGACAACCAGAACTCAAGAAGGTGGTCCAACAGGTAGTGACCCCAGATAGCCCCCGAGCACCTGAAGTGCATAGGCTGTGCACCCACTCCAGACAATGCTCAGACCTAGAAGGAAGCAGGTAGGGGAGAGAGACCGGGGTTTGCTCCTTTGCAGCATAGGGGCCTTACAGAAACTCAGAGCAAATGGTTATGAACCCCCACCCCCAGGAATCACTACCCTTTTATGCCTCCAGAGAGCCAGGAATACAGGCTTCGCTCACCCCAACAACTCCTGAGAGTTGAGAGCCTTTGAGAGAGCATGGAGGAGCTTGGCAGAGTGTGAGACCAGCTTTAGTGCATTCATATATCTTTATTGTTCACAGTCTGTGAAGCCCAACAACAAGCCCTGGTGGTGGGTAGGTAATAACAGCAACATCCAGTTCAGGTGATTTTTTTGAAGTTCATTTGTGCCGGACACTGAACACTTTGCTTATCAAACAAGTCCAAGGGACAAGGTACTATTATTTATTCCCATTTGAGAGAAAAGAAAACAGAGGCACAAAGAGGTTAGGTAACTTGCCCAAGGTCACACAGTTAAGCTGTGAATGCAAGCCTCTTTGGGCTTATTATTATACCTTAATAATAAGGTATAATTACATATGGTAAAATTCACACTGTACTGTACCAATTCTGTGAGTTTTGAAAAATAGTGGTGTAAGTACCATCACAACCATAAAGTAAAACAATTCTACCCGCCTCCCCCCCCCCAAAAAAAAAAAAACACCCAGCTTCATTACTACCCTTTACTACCTTCCAGGCAGTACTGGCTGTATTTTTACTTATGACAAAATGTCTGGAGAGGTTGTGGTGTTGCCCAAGGTCGTTCAGTAAGTGACAGATCCGGGTCAGATCCTTAGCATGTGTCTGCTAGGCCAGCTGCCTGAAGAGCGTAGATTCCGGAGTCTACAGTTAGGCGATGGCTTGGGGCACACACGCAGAAGGGAGGAAGCCCCGCTGCACGCACAGGTTTTGTGTGTTGTTTTGTTTATAAACCGGACGCCCACTTCTTTAGCAGCGGAGAAACAAAGCCCGGGGGGGGGGCATTTTACCACGCCTAAAGCCACGAGTAAAGTGAAAGGCAGCCTTAAGGACTAAGAGCTCAGGGTCCGAGCCCAGACCTGAGCTCCCAGCGCCCTGGCGCACCTCGGCCAGCCCATGCGATTAATGAGTTACTCTGCTAGTTAATTCCCCCGCACGTCGGGCCGAGCTGCGAACCTTCCCGGGAGCCTCAGGTCCGGCGCATGAATTAGCATAGATTACCCAGCTTCCAGGGCTTCCGCACCGCCCCTGACTCACCGGAAACGCACTACTTCTTCCAGGGGGCCCGGAGCTGGCTTAGGGTTAGCGGCGCTTGGGGAGAAGGCATGCCTTGCTTCCTTCTAAAAGGCGGTCACTAGACATCGCTACTCCCTCACTCTTGCCCACCTGCCCACCAGCCAGAACCCTTGGGGTTACCCTATCCCTAAAGGGCAGTTTGCAAGAGGCGGGTGGGCTTCGGAGGATGTCACAGGACAGAAGACAGAACAGTTTGGCCCCTGCTCCAGCCAAATGTCCCCCATTGGGCATGAGGCTAAGGGGCCCAGCCTTCAGTCTGTCACTCACTTAAGACATTCTCCCAGGGTCCTGGCCCAAAAGGTGAAAGGTTAAGAAAGTACCAAATAAACTTGAAGCACTTAGGGCTGAAATTTTTAAATGATGGAAACACCCTTACATAGCATACCCTATTGGGGTCTCACCCAATCTCTCAGACAGGACTGCATTCCCTTTGCCCTCAAGGTCAATGACTTTTAATACTTCCAACCAAGATCACTAATGCTAGCTGTGCAATAAATGACCATTCCATGCCCCATGGCCTGGGCAATACTTTTGTGACCCTGGTTTGGAGCTTTAGAGTCTCAGGCCTAGTGTGGAGGCCTGGTCTAGATTTCCTACAAAGATCACACAGAGAAGGTGCCCTCTCCTTCTCTCCCTCTCTTGCTTGCTTGCCACAGGATCCAGGATCCACAGTTTACCCAAATTGGATGCCTCCAGCTTCAGATACCGCAGGACTCATCCCTGGCTCCACTGGGGCTGCTGGTTAGGCACCACTCAAAGACCTCTACCCTTCACTGTGGCTTTAAGCTCCCTGCCAGTGAGGGCTTGGTGGGGCTATTTCCATAGCTTGGTGGAGGGAAGGACTTCTGAGGTGGTTTTGGTTTTTGGTTCAAGTCTGAGGAGTGTGTAGCATTTGAATATACCCCTACCCCAAGATCCAATGCCCAGAGTCTTTAAACTTGGAAAAGGTGTGTGTGTTTGGGGGGGTGGGTTGACAAAGCAAGGCAGTATGGAAAAGACAAAGGGTACAAACTGGGCCAGGACTGGGGACTGCAGCTGGTGATGCAGATTTTTGAAGCCTGAGATAGGAGGAAATTTTTCCCATCATGAAGGCAAAGATGAGGCCTATACCTGTCGTGTGTGTGTGTGTGTGTGTGTGTGTGTGTGTGTGTACATGCATGCACATGATTTCTGTGGACTCCCTTCTAATCTGTTTAAAGCCCCAACAACACCAGAAAACACCTCTCTCCCAATGCCTCTTTTTCCTTGAAGATTTCTCTCTTGGAGGAGTTTCTGGACAATTCCCTCAGCAAGCACGACACTATAGGTGAAATAAAGTTCAGAAATTGACACAGCCAAGGGAAGTCAGATGCAGTAGGGAGAGGTAAAGAGGAGGGAAGGGAAGGAAGTAGCTGAGGAATCTGGGGGCATGTCCTAAGACCCAGATCCTTGGCTGAATCTGGTGGCATTGCAGCCTCCTTCTTGAGGACTTCACTTCTCCCCCATCCTGAAGGATTTCTAGGTTTCACGGAAACCAACCTAGTCTTCAAACAGGCATTTCTTTCTCCTTAAGATAAATGACATGGGCTTGGGAGTAATAGATTTAAAGGATGCCAGGATTTTTTTTTTTTTATCATTAATTGTAAACGTGCAAAATACCTGCTGGTACTTCACTTTAGAAGAATGTAATTGGCAAAAGGGTGGGGGGAGGAAAAAAGAGGCGGCTGATGAATAGATAATAGATCTTTAACCACCAATAAACAGAGAGCAGCGCCAGCAGCCTGGGGGATGTGATCATAATTATGCCGCTACACGAGCCAATAGGGACAAGAGATCTGGGCCCTAAAATCATCCCAAAACCGAAGGCAAGCTCGAAAATGCGGACACGGTCTGGGACCGGAGACACCATCCACAGCCCTTAGTTGCTAGTTCAGGTTTTGCACAGCAACCCAGCTCAGGGACAACAGATGGCAGAATAATAATAGAAATAATAATAATAGCAGCAATAATAACAATGTCAGCACTAATAAAAATAATTCCGGCAACAGAACGGTAGTAATAGCACCGCACCAACTGCTCCCTAACCTTGGTCCCCCGGTCCCGGATATCTCAGAAGGAGTCGTTTATTGGGGGGCAAGGAGGTGCGCGCTTTTCCAGGCTGAAAAAAACTAGAGGCTGTGGTTTGACAGCGGCGGGGAGGTGGAATCGCACAGCCCGGGAATGGTTGGAGGCTCCAGTCTCAACTTGCAAACGAACCAACCGGGTCAAGGATCGCAAACGCGCGGACCCCGGAACCTCGAAGCTTACGGGTGGTTAGAAGGGTGGGAGGACACCCTCCATCCCCCACCCCAGCCTAAGAAACCGCCGGGAGTTTGCTGGGGGTGGGGATTGCTATAACCGAAAGGCGCCTTCAGTCCTCTCCCGGAACCAGTCCCCGCCCGCTTACCCTCGCCGTTCTCCCGGGGCGATCCCAGCTCCCTAGACGCGGAGCCACGGGGTGCAGCTGCGGCGGAGCGCTGAGCGTGAGGAATCTGCCTGTCGGTCGTTCCTACAAGCTCCAGTGCAGCAGGCTCGGGATCCAGGGGGCTGCAGTGGAGGCGCGCGGGCCCGGGACTCTGCAGGGACCCGGGTGCCCCGGAGGGAGTGGTGGTGGTGGAGGAGGCGGTGGCTGAGGGGGAGGAGGTTGGGAAAGAGGAGGAGGAAGAAGAGGAGGAGGAGAAGAAGGAGGAAGAGGAGGAGGAGAGGAAACCGGAGGAAGAGGAGGAGGCGAAAGAGGAGGAGAGAAGCCTCAGCGGGCTCCGGGGGAGCGAGTGAGCTTGGAGAGCGGGGCGAAGGCACGAAGAGGTCGAGGGACCGGGCGGGCGGCAGGAGGCACGGCCGGGGCAGCGGCGCCGACTCCGTTCCACTCTCGGCCCAGATCCAGGCCTCCGGGTTCCCAGGCGCTCGCCTCCCTCTGACGCACTTTAAAGAGTCTCCCCCCTTCCACCTCAGGGCGAGTAATAGCGACCAATCATCAAGCCATTTACCAGGCTTCGGAGGAAGCTGTTTATGTGATCCCCGCACTAATTAGGCTCATGAACTAACAAATCGTTTGCACAACTTGTGAAGAAGCGAACACTTCCATGGATTGTCCTTGGACTTAGGGCGCCCTGCCCGCCTTTTGGAGAGGAGAGAAAACTTTTTTTTTGCCTCCCCCAAGAAACTTTCCCCCCCTCTCCTCCCTGCTTCTAACTCCGATCCCCCCCCCCTCCACGCCATCTCGCCAAAAAAAAAAAAAAAAAAAAAAATCACCCCAATCCACGCCTGCAAATTCTTCTGGAAGGATTTTCCCCCTCTCTCCAGGTTGGGCGCCTTTGGTGCAAGATTCTCGGGATCTTCGGCTTTGCTTCTCCTTCCCCTCCCCCTCCTTTCCTTTTTCCTTTCCTTTCTTTCTTCCTTTCCTACCCCCACCCCCACCCCAAACAAACGAGTCCCCAATTCTCGTCGGTCCTCTCCACGAGCACCGGGCGGCGGAGGCAGCGTGCCACGGTCGCCGGGAGCAGGGAGCCTGGGGCGCCCGCTCCTCGGCGCAGCATGTTCCAGCCGGCGCCCAAGCGCTGTTTCACCATCGAGTCGCTGGTGGCCAAGGACAGTCCCCTGCCCGCCTCGCGATCCGAGGACCCCATCCGTCCTGCAGCGCTCAGCTACGCCAACTCCAGCCCCATAAATCCGTTCCTCAACGGCTTCCATTCGGCCGCCGCCGCCGCAGCCGCGGGCAGGGGCGTCTACTCCAACCCGGACTTAGTGTTCGCCGAAGCGGTCTCGCACCCGCCCAACCCCGCGGTGCCAGTGCACCCGGTGCCGCCACCGCACGCCCTGGCCGCCCACCCCTTGCCCTCCTCGCACTCGCCACACCCCCTCTTCGCCTCGCAGCAGCGGGACCCGTCCACCTTCTACCCCTGGCTCATCCACCGTTACCGATATCTGGGCCATCGATTCCAAGGTACGTGCCACGTCGCGGGACTGCGGCGCGCCGCTCCCGCCGCATCCCTCACTGCGCCCGGCCTGCTCCCGGTGGGCACTTAGCAAGGCCTGGGCGGAGGTTCCACCGGCTCTCCGGCCCAGGCGCCCGGTTTGAAAACTGGGCAGCGAAGGGCTGCGGCGATGGTGTTGATCCCCGCTCTCCCAAACTATGGCTGGTTTTGGGTTCTGGCCCGCCGGCCGCTTGACCTTTTGAGAAGGGGCGCGGACAGAGTTGTCCCCGTGTGCGCTTGAGTCTGGACACGCCAGAGCAGCCTGGTCGGCGTGCCCGTCGCCAGGGAGCCCAGAAACCGCTATGTCCTTAGTCTCGCGGTCCCCTTGGTCCGAGGGCCACGGACAGGGCCGCCAGGTTCACCTACGACTGCGTTCCATTCTGTTCGCCACCCGTTGCACGCCCCTTCATCCCAGACCCGCGACTTCAGTCTTAGACCCTTCTACCCAGACCAGGAGACTCTTGTGACCCTGGAGCAAAGTGTGTTTCCCCCTGCTTTTTGGAGGCCCAGCGAGGGGCGGAAACCCGAGCGGGTAGCAACCTCCGGGGCTCGGCTCTCTCGCAGCGACCTGCTTAATTGGGGCGCGGAGCGGCCCCGGCTGGAAAGCAGGTTCGGTCTGGTTTTTGTTTTTCCTTTTTTCAAAAGAAATGAACCAGGTCGAAAGACGGCCTGGGAGGGAAAGATCTGTTTGGGTGTCTTCGTTTCTTGCTATTTAAAAATTTTGTTTTTCTCTAGTTGGGGGTTGGGAGGAAAGTTAAAACAACTTCGGAAAAAGCGGCGAATAATTAGTTTGCCGATTTGAGTCGGATCCAGTTCCTAATAGACCGACCTCAGGCGGCAGCCGATCAATACTTAGAGCCTTGTCTGTCCATTAACCCTTTACATTCCCTCCAGAGTCTGGAATTGGGTAGATGTCACACCCCTCCCCATAGTTAAAAAAAAACAAAAACAAAAACAAAAACAAAAAACAAAAAACAATCCAAACCAAACCAAAGAACTTTTTGCCCTTACTCCTGATCAGAATTTGCCTCCATTCCCGCCTGGACTGTCGGTCTGTTTTCTTTGTTTGTTTGTTTGTTGAATTGATTTCCTACTCAAATGAGTGAACCCAAAACATTGGATTTCCTCTCAAAGTTCAGGGCTTCCCTTCTCCATTCTCTGCCAGCTGCCCTCTTGGTCGCCCCAACAGATCTGGAGCAACCAGCATCTTCCCGGGCCGCAGACCGTCCTGGCTCGTGCCGGCAAATCGTAACCCCTGGGTTTCGATCCCATCGCTCAAGTCTCTCCCAGTTCTTTGGAGCCGGGGACCACGGGAGCCAGGTCATCCGGAGGCAGCAGCGGTTGAAACCCGGCACACCAGCCGTGAGATTCTTGTCGCAGTCCGGCTACAACGACTCTTCCGGCCTCTGTACTTTCTCCGAGGCGTAGCAAGACAAAAATAAAAAATTTTAATAAGTCCGCGAGAAAATTCAGGATAGCGGCCCTCTGCCTCTCCACACTGAGGTCAAAGTTTCCTGAGAGGCTAGAAAGAAGAGAGATTTCTGTGGGTGGTGGGCACCAATCTCTCGGCCGGTCTCTGCTGCCCCCTCCTCTGCCTCGGGCGCCGGGAATTGGAGTGTGAGGCCCGCGGCTCCCGGGCGGCTGCGGAGCCCGCCACGGTCCGGAGCTGGGGACTGGCCCCACTCGGGCAGCTTCTGGTTGTGTGCGGCACAGGTGGATCCCCGGCTGTCCGGGGCTTGGCAGCTAAGCCGGCCTCCCTCTCGCGCTCCTGGGGAGGGCCACCAGCATCCGCAGGTCTAGAGCCGCAGACTAGGTGGAGGCCTTGAGCGCTCTGCCCCGCCAGCCCGGCTCGGGAGAAGCGCGCGACTCTGACCAGAGCCGCCACCTAATGGCACTTCTGCTGTGCCCCCTGCAGGGAACGACACAAGCCCCGAGAGTTTCCTTTTGCACAACGCGTTGGCCCGAAAGCCGAAAAGGATCCGAACCGCCTTCTCCCCGTCCCAGCTTCTAAGGCTGGAACACGCCTTCGAGAAGAATCACTACGTGGTGGGCGCGGAAAGGAAGCAGCTGGCTCACAGCCTCAGCCTTACGGAAACTCAGGTGAGAGCGGCCAGCAGCCAGGACATCCCGTCTAGGCAGAGGCCCCCTCACCCCAATATAAGGACCCTGGTAGCTGGCACCCAGCACACCCACGAGTGCTGAGCTCCGACAGGGCGTTTGCAAAGGGCCCTGTGGTTCCTTTCAAGCCAGGGCTCTGGATTTATAACTTCCCTGCTGCCCAGCTGCCCTGGGCTCCAGCAAGGAGGCTCTAAGAGTCTAAGCGCTGAGTTGCTCCTTCTGCCTAGCTGTACAGGCCTTGTAGCCTCTGGCTAGATACCTCTATAGTTTTGATGAGACTTTTGGTAAGAGTCATGGGGTCCAGGATGAGGGAAAGTGAAGCGGCATGTCTGGGTGATTGAGGCTCAAGGTTGGAGAGGGTAGAGAGCCGGTTAAGGGAGAGTTCTGAGCAACTCAAGGCCCAAGGCTCTCATTATAGGCCCCAGTTACTCTTCTCAAAGAAGGAGAGTCTTGGAAGCTGGAGGCCAAGAGTGCTGGGTGCAATCGAAATCAGAGAAATAGAATTTGAAGATTGCAGAGAGGGGCTGGGGGGATAGGCCCTTCTGCTCAGCAGGGTCCCGAGGCCGGCCAGGCTTGGGCTTGTCCCAAGGCGGGGAGGGGGCTTGGGGCTACTGTAGGCGCTACTGTACCGGAGCCCCAGGGCGGGGTCAAAGTTCCCAACAAACAGTAACATTTTCGAGCAGATTAAGTTGTAACACTTTTTCTGGGAAGCGCAAAAAGGTCGAGGCTTTTGTTTTTAAAGCGTTCCCCCCCGGACAAAACTGAAGAGGGCCTCGCGGGTTTGTGCGGGGCAGGCACAAGGCGCGGCCCGGCTGATTTCTCCTGGACAGGCGAGGCGGCGGTGGTCTTTGTCCGCCTCGCTGCCCACGCTGCCTGGAGTCTTTGTGTGCGTGTCAAGCCCCGAGCGCACCGACGCGCGCCTTGGGCGAGCGCCGGGGGAGAAATGAACCATCCTCCCCCTCAATTAGCAAACTCAAAGCAAATTAAACTCAGCCTTGTTCCCGCTCAGCTTTTCCATGGGGCACTTTGGGGGACTGCGGCATTCGGGGAGAGCAAGCGGATCTGTGGTGTCTTAAGGGAGAGAGTGGGCGCGGGATCTCGAGGGCACTGCTCTGATATGACTCCCTGGCATGTGGAAGGTGCGGCAGTCACGTATTTCTAGCCAGGACCCACTGCGGGAAGCTTGGACAAGGGCTACTATTTGGTCTGGTTGCGGGTGGGGACCCACCACCCAGTTTTCCCAGGGGGCCATCGAATCTCAGCTGACTCCAACCTCATTGGTCTCGGGACCTCTAGCAGTTGCTCTGAAGAGGCCAGGCTGCCTGCTCTGCCTGCCTTGGTGGGAAGTGATGTGGCCCAATCTGAGGTTGACCCCTGGCCTGTTCTGGGCTGGATAGGAGGGAGGAATATGGGGACTCTCTCTTTCCCCCTCCTCTTTGTCAGTTTCTCTTACTTCCCTCTATTCCACAGTCTTTCCCGAGCTTTCACTTTTGAACCCCATTTCCTGGCTGGAAAGGCAAGGCTGGGTTAGTCCTCAGTCCCTTTTCCCCACTGTTCCTTGGCTTCCTCCATCTCAGCCCACTTTTGCTCACCTGCAGGGTCACTCAGCAAGGAGGCAGTGGCTGAGGCACATCCTGATCTTCTACCCAGGGACCAGCGCCTTACAGATGAGGCTCTATATTTAGGCTAGGAAAGACCTGCAGAAAATGGAAAGCACATTGGGCCCTCGGGGAAGTTGCAGCCTGGACTGAGGTCTTCTTGCACTCACTTGTTGGAGGGAGTTAGGATCATAACTTTTTAAATTTCTCCTACTT